AAATATTTATCACAAAGAAATGTTCTTCGAAATATCTCATCACAACGGTTCTCAACGAGTGAAATTAATACGATTAATGGTATAACGGATATTACTGAAGAACCAAGTGGCTCGTTAGCAAATTACAGTAAGTGCTCTAAATTATTTGGGCAGCTACTGTACTACGTCCACTCGAATCATCGGAATGCCCAGTGCCGATGCAGACAGTATTATTGCCATGACAGTACCCACAAAATTGTTATGACAATCTATCCTGAATGTGGTCCGTAACGTCGTTCCGTGGCGATATATTCTTTTATTTTAATTATATACTAAACTGCGCAATTAAAAAGGCCATGCTACTGACGTTGAAAAACTTACCATAACCAATATTCTTTAAAGTTTACCTTTATTTATTTAAATTTTACAATTTTTATTGTTTTATTATTATTATTCTTTTACTTATTCATCAATTATTATTATTATTTTTTTTTATTATCATATTTTATTAAAATGCAATCAATTCATACCTACGTATTTAGGGAAACAGATTTTTATAAAATGACATTTATTAATAGAATCGGTTTGCTTCTTTAATATTCTAAGACAAAGGTTTAAATAAAAATGGAAAGAAAAATGAACATGTTGATACAAAGTATTTCAATGTCAATCACATCAATAACATACTTATAAATAGTCAAACGAATAATTATGGCATCAATACGATTTACCTAGAAGTGCTGTTAACACTGATCATTACAGTTAAAACTCCCTTTGGAAAACTGACTGCGAAACGTATTCAAAATTCGACAATGACCGAATTAAATGCGATTCGGCAATTCGTGGTGAATTCGTTTTAATATACGACGATGCAAAATTTTAACATATGGAAGTGCAAATGGCGCTGCGTTACCGGCAGAATGATTTCATTATAAATTTTTAATCGCGCAAAGTGATGAGAACAGCGTATATAGGAAATGAAACAATGGCCGCGGAGGCGGGCCGATTTAATCCGTTTTTATTTCGCTGGAATTAAATGATGAAGTGCATTGTTCGAAGGTGCACGTAATCGACAGATTCGAGTGGGAAATTTTTTAATTTACATCCTCTGATTTCCGAGCAAGCAGTTCCCAGATATTTTATAATCACCTTCACGATGCATCGTCCACCACTTTTTCTCCCACCTTTCGCGCAGCTTTTCTCACTTCTCTCTCGTTCCGTTCTCCCGTTTCTTTCGGTTCTCTGCAGCTATACGGCTATATTGTAGAAAGTGGAGATGGAGAAATCGAATTTTCAGACGATCGAACCGCTCAGGCAGAAAAATAACATGGAAAACCGTACCGGTAACTTTCGTCGAACGCCATGTAGAAACTAATTGCGCGAGGAATTTCGATTCATCGCAAATTTCTCGTATTTGAGTTTCGTTTAGTCTCATTGAAAATTCATTTTTCTTACTTCGTTTACTTTACTGTTTACTTACATTTAATAGTAGTTAACCCATTATTCCTCTTTGAATTGAATAAATAATATAAAGCGTCAAGCTAATTGTTATTCCTACGATCACAAAGATAACATAAATATGATTGAATGATAATTATTATTCCTACGATCACAAAGATAACTAAACTACCTAATAAGAATCATCGATATACAGTTTCAGTCGTTCAATATGTTGATCGCCGAGAATTTAGCGCGTTTCTTATAACATATAACATATATACATATCATACATATCGTATCATAATAAACCCATTATCTACGTAACTAAATATTTTGATACGACATCAGTTTTCTTCTTATAATTCTTTTCAAGTAATTTGTACGTTCCAGTCATCAGTGACCACAACGTCAACGTGTTAAAAGATAAAAAATTCACCCATTCTCGGTAACCTATACATGATCCAATAGAAACATCTTCCATTTCCACACTCCTGTCTTTATTTAATTCGTGGTAGATGCTAATTCTAATCACACCACGCTCCGATACCGAAGGAAGCAAGTAAAAACATCAGCCACGTGACAATTAACTTCGTTTACTTATTAAACCATCCCGATCCTCGTACAGAAAGAGATGTCAGAGTTTCGAAGCGTGAGAGCGGCCGAACTGAGGGGTGTTTAATAATTTATATGTTTACACAGTGGAAACTGAGACGCCGCGGTAGAAAGGACGCAGTCTCAATTATGGAGAGGTCCCGCGCCCTTCGCGACTTCCTGACAGTTAATTATTCAGAAATTGGCAACGAGCCACACGTCGCTCGACGAGCGCATCAAGTACCCAGTCGCGTGTCTCACGGAGCTGAAATGGCCGAAGTTTGCCGCGTCACGCTGGTATGCCGAAAAAGGAATTTTCCGCGAAAACTCGCAGGACGAAATCGAAGCGGCGCTAGCGGCCGCCGCGAACTTTCCCTATCAATTACTTAACCCTGCCGCTTACGGCAATTAATTAAAATCCCCGGGCAAAAGTTCATGGAACACCTGTTACGTGTTTAGAATTATTTCTTCGTGTCTCTGCCCGACTAATGAAATTCTCCGGATGACTGATCACTGAATGGCCCGACGCCGATTAATAACTGCGCTTCGCGATTTTATTCGTCGGCGTGAATAATTAACCCTTTGAGTGCTAAATACTGCCAGCCAAAACGTTCTATGTGGAACGACGAAATGTATTCGTCTTATACGCTTGTAATTGGCACTGTAACATTTGTGAGATCAAAGAGATCGATGAAACGCATATGTGCGTGCGTAATCTCCGATGATTTTTGGCAGACACATAACGTAACGGCGTCGGAAAAAGTTTCGGAAAATAAATAACTTGTTTGCGTTAGTTACCATGGGAAACACTTCAGTGGTAATAGAAAACAATCACATTAGTAGTTGGACATCAATTAAGAATTTGTCATGAAATGCGAAGCATTATTGTGTTATGAATGTTGTGGGCCATTTTTCCAGATCTCTGTTTTCTCGTCTTTATTTACATTTTTACTGTAGTTTGAAGACATTGAAATCTTTCCATTGTTATCGATCAACGTATGAATGTTTATTAATTTTTTCGTGCCTCGATGCAGATTTCATTGAAAAAAGTACATATGCCTCATTTTGATAAGTTTTTCGAATCAGATGTTCCATGTTAGGTACCATTGCCTATGACAATTTTGAGTCACGGTGAAGGTTCGTGCGACGACGTTCACACGGCCTTCGAAGAACTAATTTTCAATCGTGTTCATTAAATACGTACAAATGGGAACGCGCGTAATCAGATTTTCCCTGGGAACTGTTAAAGCGTTATTCCCAGGCATATTCGGTTCATCGATAAATATCGGCGCACACAGCAGCCGTTATTCGACGTCGATAATGCGCCGCGACGTGTTCTTTTAAGCTTTTAATGAAACTAGTTGCGGTTCTGTATTATTAACGCATAATAAAGAACGAACGAAATGTTTCCGAGATAGCGGCATAATTCTGCAAGATAAAATTCAATTCATAACGAACGCGTTGGGAAGGACATCGGTTTTTTGGTAAACATTCCCTGCTCCGTGATCGGATTTAATTCGAGTTCCGTTGGCGTTTCGTTACTGGTTGCATCATTAATCGAATAAATTATCCTAATAAGCAGATGGAATAGTTGCCTGCGAACGTTGGATAATTATTATCCAAATTATATTGGATATTTATTTATTCGAAATAACTCAGGAATAGATAGTGTTTGTTATCTGTTCATTGGATCAACTGGAAGCGAATATAATAAATTAAACATACTATGTATTAATTATAAGATTCTGAATATGCTATCTGTTGATTAATTATATGATACTAATACTTTTCTCATGTATTCTCAACATTAACGAAGAATGGAATATTCTTGTTTCAGAATCTGAATTTTTGTACTTTAATATTCTGATGAAAATACCCAATCTTCTTCCTAATAAAATTTCAATTCATCCCTTTCATCCCTTTTCATTATGTTAGTCCAATTATTTTTCGTTCGAAAATTATTTATTTGAGAATAAAACGGTGCATTCCAAAACCGTGAAATTCTTTATGAAACATCACCGCTTCGTTAAATCCTCCATTTCTCGCAAAATGTTGCGGACATTGATATTGTACTTCAACCACACATTTTATTTCAAAATTACAAGAACGCCTATTGAAAAACGTGTTGAATTAAAGTGTAATGGAGGGACATCGGCGCTCGAAACCTTTGGATAGTGCCCCTAATTTAAGCAGATTATTAAAAACGTATCACCGTGATCCTCAAAATAAGGGATCGCCTCCGTGGGGAAGTAACGACGGGAACTTTTCTCGTAAAATAAATCAAGCCGTCCCATCGTGGTAATTCGACGCAGCCTTTGCTTCCGTCGGTGACATCGGATATTTTCTTAATAGTAAAACTTCCGCGGCAATCGACTACTGTCCCTACTCATGAACTCCCTTATAAATCAGTATATCGGAAAAATTGTGGATACTGTACATCTTGAAGCACACTCTCACTATAAAAATCGTTCAACCTCTTGGCCGCTCATATCATAAATATATTACATAAGAAATATCATTAATATTATGTAAGTATTACATAACTCTCATGCATATATATGTATTAAATTTTATTAAAAAATTTGTATTTTTCAAGGAAATCTTTTTATTCTTCTGATCACTCTTTAATTACGAATAATTATTTCCAATACTTTTCTATGCGAAGTTTAAAAAAATCTCTAATATGCAGGAAATTAAATATGTTAAAATATTTGAAATATACTGAAAATGTACATTTTGTTTGAAAATGTATATAAAATTATTTTCTGTCGGGATCGTTTTTATATATTTTATAATTAATATACGAGCATTGTTAAAAAACGATTTGAAAACAATATTAACGTCCACGTTAAAGCTTCATATTTAAAAAGAAATGTAACAATGTACTTTTATTGGTGTTGTCGTCGGTATTGTTCAGTGTGGATTATTTTCAAGTTATTTAGTTACTAGAACAGCCATTAAAAAGCATAATTGTTTCTTGTCTGTTACAGTCACTGCACCAGCCACTATATCGCTGTATACTCGGGTCCGACTACGTCGAGTCCCCTTCTGAAGAAGCTTTGTGGCAAAAACGAAACGTCGTTGACGTACAAGGGGCGGAAGCTCTTGGTCGAGTTCAGGTAACAATTTGTATATCTAAATGATATTCTTGGTAATCGACGTCCATTAACGTGACAATACCAAATACTGTGATGTAATTGTAATCGTAAGAAATATATGAGAAAACAGAAATTATTAAAATTTATTATTAAATATTTCGCAGCAGGTGGTTTCGAACGCGAGAGCCTTAAATCGATACCACGCACAATTTTATCAATCCATAATTGAATGCCGCAGACTTCTATTACAATGGAAATAGAATATAAAATATTTTTGTGTAATATCGTACTCGAAACCACTTATTTAAAACTGGACAAAAATTTAAACGTCACAAATGCAAATTGAGAAAAATGAACATACCATGAATATGGAAATATTAAAATCGAAAGAACTGTCGAAATTCATTAAACGTATCTTTTAAAATAATGTTAAAATAATTCCACGCGAAAATAAAATTCAGTAACGATTTCATATAATTATTCGACGGCGAATCGAATAATAAATTTTAATATAGAAATTAATAAGAAATTAGCGAGTAATAACAGAATTTAATAACAAGTATTTGACGAGGTGCAGAGAGCTAGGTCAATTTATTTTTATATATCTGTAATCGTCAGAATTTCGAACGATAAATTCCTGGTAAATTTAAAATGCACGTATCTCGCTGCAAACGTAAAAGGACGTCAGCGATAACCAATTATAAACTTTAAAATGGTGCAGAATTGCGTTATCGGTTGTTGATCTGTTACTCCATGATATTCAAATCAACAAAAATAAATTGTGTTAACCCAGTAACAGAAAAATCAGCGAATCATTTGCCAGGCTGCAGTTAATTAAAAATCCTTTGATATCTCGATCAAAGACAGAAACATATCGTTTGAAATAATCGAGTAGAGAGTATAGATCGCCCTTTAAAAATATTTTTCCTTTCTAGAACCGGTCCTGAAGTACCGCCCTTTGCTTACAACGGCTTCGTCGCCAATCTCAATTTCATAGAAATTACAACGGAAACCCCAACGACGACGACGACAACGACCACGACGACTACGCCAACGACGACCACAGAAAACGTCGATAAAAGTCGTAAGTACTGACAAAGAGAACGCATTTGTCGTTCGGTAATTAGATCCCCCTTTTGCGTCAACAGTTATTCGGTTCTATACGAACTGATTTTATTCATCCGAAAGAGCTAACGCAAAGCTGTTACTTACTGGTTACAATCATTATTGTAAACTTCAAGACCAACCTATTAAAATAATCTCACGCAAACTGTGATTCCAAAATAACACATGGGTACAATTGTATTTACGACAGCGGGAAGCTTAAATACTTCAGAAGAATGTAGAAAATTTCTCTATGGAATTAGATTTATGGAAAAGGAAGCTAACTAAGAAAGCGACAGTTTCTTCTTCCCGAAAATTATTTAAATAATCATTCTCCCGTCACGTGACTTTGAACAAGCACTCGTTATTATATTACCTCCTGTCAATGAATTTCGTTGGCAATATTCATTGCTTTCGCCAAACTCTATATCTCTCCAATATCTCTTATAATATTCTCAAACACCTTACTTCCACTAGTAAGTATATTATGTAGTATATACAGAGTGAGTCATTTAATTATACCATCAAAATGTACTTGTTAGGTAAAAGAATGTCCGAGGCAAAAGTTGTTTAGCATCAAAAGCTGAAGCAGTTTTCGTCTGAAATATTCTTTTCGCGAGATAAACGGTTTACAACTAAATTCAGGTGGCACGATTTAATGACTGACCCTGTACAGTAACAGTCACGTAATCTCAACACCGTAAAGCTCAACCCAAACCAACCCTCACAGCGTCAATTTCTCCGATCATCTCCAACGAAACGATTCATTTGTCGGTCGTTCATACTCTTTACGATCGAAATCCCGAGAAAGATGTTCGTATAAAACATTGCCCGCGATAATTAATTCCAGTTCGCGGACTCGTGTATCCCAGTTTCAATTAGAGCAGCGACAACCCCTAACCCGGGTCGTCCCTGTTTGAACGAAGCTCCGTTGTTTGAAGGGCTTCGCGTCTCCGTGTGTTTTCAGTGAACACGATGAAGTCAACCAGTTACAACACGCGCTACAGCAACCGGAACAGCTGCGACCTGGAGGTCAGCGGCGAGCTGGTACGGACGGGTCACCACGACACCAGGGGGAAGCTCAAGTACACGACGTGCCGGCTCGTGCTGCGCGGACGTGCTTACGACACAGGGCACGTATCGTTGACCAGTTACAATCTCAGGTAATGCTCGCCACCTTCCACCGCCTTACGACCTTGCCACCCACGCTTAGCCCTTGCTTTTTGCTCTCGCCACATACCGCGGACACTGTGATTTACTCCCCGGCCATTTATCCGACGACGTTCTTCGACAATGATTCCTGCCGCCCTTTCTTCACCGCAAGGGGTCGCTTCACCTCGAATCGATACCTTTTTCACGTCAAGGTGTGAACTTTAAGTGAGGACAGCGAGAATTTATTTTCAAGTTTTCCTTAAATTGTATAACTCAGGTTTGGCTTGAGTAACAATATTGTTATATGGTTTTTCTTATAGTCTTATAGTCCATTTTCTTATATTAAAACAAGTTGCGTATGCTTTCGAACGGTCGATCGGGTTTGCAATCGCTTGAAACAATTTGAATTTATTGATTCCTCTTTATTCCGATATCGGAAACTAAACCTATCATAACAATACCTTACTTTATTGAAAAGTGAAATTAAAATTAATTACTTGAAATACATATTGAACTCAATACAATTCTACTGTATAATACTAATACAGGTGCCAGAAAATGGAAAACCTGCCACACTTCAGACCACAAAAGGAAATGATCGATCGAAGGTGAAAAGGATCAGTGACGCGACACGAGTGTACCGGCGTTTATCTACACGCGCCGGTCGAAATCGAATGATATTTCCATTCATGAAACATTCCGCGATCCCGGGGAACACGATTCACCGATTTCCCTTTCTGTTTCATCAGTATCTTGTACGTGACTGTGGCTACTAGAAAGGCGAGAAACTGCGATCGCTTAGCATGCCTGTGGGAGTGTCCGGGCACAGTTTTAAGGCGATTGCGTTCGACCGTAAAGACGGAGTTAGAAGCCACCGGAAATGCAGTCACGTAGCGGGCCGTGTGCCGTCGGGGTCCGTGGCCGGAATTGCATTTCAATTGTTTACCTTTTTCGTTCGGCTCGCTTTTGAGGATCCTCGAGACTTCCGTGGACCCGTGTCGGGCACGGCTCGGTGACGCCTACAGCTCGGGTTAAATCAAATTCGAACTTCCACTAGCCCGTGTCTCTGTCCCCTAGGATTTAATTAATCAGTCACTTCGAAGGAAAAATTCAACTAGCGTAGCATGTATCGATGAAGTTAACCTCTTTGTGTCAGATGAGTGATTCAAATAATAATCTATTTACTACATCTGAGGTCTCGAGAAAATTGCCTTTGTGAAATGTTATTGGATTAACTAACTAATATTGTAATAACATATTACAAAAGCTTTTTTTCTTGAGCACTCAGAAATAGGAGTTGTTTTGTAGTTCATTAATTAATACAGAAATATCGCTCCTGTGCATCTTATAATGGAGCATAGACGTTTGATAGTAATTTCTTCATTATAGACGAGGTGTTCGTTTCATTGAGTATTACACGAATTGGTTGATAATCTATATTGCACCGAGGAAATGAAATTTTGATTGAAATATATCGGCAGGCGAAGGAACGCTCGAAATGCAATTTACATACGTTAAGGTATATGTGTTATGTAAATGAGACGCACTGTCTGTTCGAATATCCCTCAGGCTCGAATTTAGGCAGCTTCACTTTGTCTTCTTTTTCTTCTGGATATTTTAACGGAACGAACATGTCTGGTCGCGTGGCGAAGAATGCTTCCAGCGATGGAAAATATGCTTACGCTTAACGAGCCAGTGGAATGTTACGAACTTCCGAACGAAATACTTTAACCGGTTCATTCGGGGATTCACGCAGAAAAGTTTGAAGAAGCGATTAAGCTTCCAAAGCACCTGACATCGCATTGCGTGAATAGTTTTCTCAAAACTTCTCATGGTCCTCGAATGCCACGCTATTCGCGTAAATGTTTCATCGTCGAAATATCTCTTTTAATTGAAATAATACGAGAGAAGCTTCAAACTAAATTCTTGAAAAATAAATGTTAAATGAAAGAAAATTAATGAAACATGCATCGAGAAATTTTGTTGGTAATAAATACTGTATTTTAATTTAATTATTTTTCAATCCTTCTCCTTGGTACAAACTATTATAATAATATTATTTTGATCATTTAAGTTAGCATACTTATCTTGTTTGCCGAATAAAGGTACTAATAGCAGCTAGTAATAATTACTAATAGTAATAGTAACTAATGATAATAAATAGTGAGAATAATATAAATAATAATAGTAACTTCTAAGTCTCTGCGTATATTCAGAAATTGTGTAATGTTGAAAGAAACGTCTTTGATGACGTTAAAACAAATATGAAAAGGCTGAGGTTTAAAGGATCTAGCCCGGACCTAACCAAACTCCTAAAACGCGACCTCGATATCATTATCATATTCATACGGCATCCCACGTGTCGAAACTCACCTGAAGTTGATATCTAGAAGTCAGAACTTCGACGCGTCGACTTTTCCGCAAGAAAAGTAGATGTTCTTGTCGACTCTCGTGACTCCTTCTTCTTCTTGTTAGGAGTCATTCATATTCCGCTCATGTTGATCATCATTAGGGGACCAACCCCAATTCAAGTGGAATTCTATTATGAAATTCGTGAATTGGTAGATTCCACGAATCGGAAGTCATTAATATTAGTTTCAGCAACTGGAACATCGGTTGTGCCGGGTCCCGCGAGCAGGGCTCTGAGTCAATTCCCCCTGTGTTGAATTCCTCGGATCTCCGAGCGTTTATATCAAATTCCACGAATCTAGAATCATCTGTGTCTATCTCTGAAACTTATCTCCGTCGTGTGACTAGTCCCAAGGAAATTCAGGATAGCCGTGGAACTTCTCTAGTCCGAAGTATCCGCGTCTCAGGAATGCTATCTCATTTGATACTTTATACCCTAAGTGAAAGTGAACTGTCTCCATGCATCGTAGATCTTACCAAATGTGAAAAGACGTTTGCGTATTTCTTCTTAAACGTGGTCGCTGGGTTTTTCTGCAATAACTTCCAATATCTCCGTCCTCCTAAATAATTCTACCAAATCTTCGTATTTCTAAATGACGAATTAAATATTAAAAATATGTTACTGAAACTCTCTTCATTTCTTCCACGCGTGTAATTAAAGACATCAAAAACCACCGTCAAATGTCCTGCAAGAATTCTACCGAAGTTACGTCAACATATGCAAGTACCAATTTCTTCTAAAACTTCAGAAGAGAAACGTAAACCAAGAACAACGATTTATTCCTAATCCAGTGGGACGCGTGTCCCAATTGTCTCCTACACGGTCGATCCAGCTAAGAGACTACTCGCCACGCCAGGAAGAATCATATTTTCCAATGGCGCGTATCAATCAACATAACTCATCGGAATGCTGGAGCAGGGTCCTCCTGCCTCCTTCGTCCTCTCGGAAGTAATAGATACGAAGTAGCACTAAATCAGACGGGAATGCGGCTGGCTCCTATCCCTGGGATTTTCAATTATCATGCACAATGGCTGAAACGCATGGACCATGCATCCGTGGCTTCGCGCAGATATGTTCTCTCGTAAGAGATGGAACACACGGCGAGTGGGTTAGGTCGGCGGGTTCTTCGTCTGGTGCGCGAACCCGGGTCGCGCCGCAGCCAAGAAGAGAACGTAACCCCGTGGGTCCGTAGGCGGCAGATATATAACCGGGAATAAACTAAAGGAAGACACGCACACCGCCTCTTACATCGAGACAACCGAAGCGAGACAGAGAGATGGCGAACCGGAGGCAGAAGACAGAGCGAAGGGTTCATCGAAGGAGGCATCAATTTTGAGTGAAATATTGCAAATTCAAGTACCGCCGAACCGGAAGACTATTTCGGCGGCAAGGGTGCACAGTTTTGCTCCTGGAAGCTAACAGGATGAGACAGGTGACACACACCAACTTCGAAACACTTTCAGGATGATTTAGTGCTAGGATATATTTACTTATATTCGATGGGTTCCTTTTATAGCTGAAATTTTTCGTTTCGAAGGGATGAAGATATCTTTCGATGTAAGGGGTGGAAAATGGTTTTGGTTAATAATCTTGGAAACTGTTGCTCGTGGTAACAAATTTTTAATATGCCGAATGTGCATTTTTTAGTAGATAATTCGAATGATTAAGAAGATTTTAATAAAAGATTGTTCATTATATATTGAGTTTTTGATGTTATGTAATTTGACATAGAGAATTTTAGAACATAAAAATGAAATGTTATATTCATTTTGTTTGTCGATAATCCGTCTCGTTTCAACATTGTCAAGCGATTATTTTTTCCAGCTGGAACTACGCGCCTGGCAAACGAATTTTCGAAACCACTCTCCCCTCATCTATCCAGCTTGCATTATTTATCGCAATCGATATGCTGCTAACATCCCTCTGCAGTTTTGCTTCGCGTTTAATGCGTTTGACTGAATTTTCGCTAGCGATACCGATCAGTCACCATTTTCCAAACTTTCAAGCGCCGTTACAGTATATTTCACGTTTGAGTAATCGTTAAATAAAACTAGAAATCTAAAATATAAAAAATAACAATTTATTTTCTGCAAGAATTTTCAGGCATCACAGTTTCACTACACTATCGATACCACTCTAACATTATTCTACTATTATCCGCGCGAACATGTCGGTTGACTCACCCGGTATACGTCTGACGATCGTATTTTATAATGTATGACTATCACGAACTCTCTATTGATCTTGCAGCGCGCTGTCCTGCCAATCGTCGATCGAAATATACGACGGCCACCCCGAAGAAGGGATGCTTGGCACCGCCAAATCTCTCGAGAGAATCTGCAGTCCTGCGCAGAGGCTTCCACGGGAATTCGTGCAACAAGATACGTAAGTGGATTCTCCAGTTATTAGACCAAGGAGCAAGAGAGAGTGTATCTATGTGTATACGTGTATTGGTGTAGAGAGAGAGAGAAAGAGAGAGAGCGAGAGAGAGAGAAAGATTCCAGCGCGTCGCGGTCTTCTGTACACGGCTTATTACTCGGATACTGTAGACAAGAAGTCCTCGAGATTCCGCTCGATTTATGACGTGCAATGCGAACCGCCCCTGTTATCCCTGATCTGACGCGGCACAGCACGGGTGAACTCCACGAAATTAATGCCGGCAGAATTCATTCGATCGGCTGCTCTGCGTCGAACATTCTCAAAGAAACACCTCGCAGGATCGGCAACTTGGGAAATCTGTTTTGTGTCTCGCGTCGGACCGCCAAGGGTCTCGTGCGGGAAGCCTAATTTGTTGCGCGTCTTGTTAGGGACTCGCGTGTGTACGTATGAATGTATAGGTATAAGGGTAACTACCGCGCTGTGGGGTCTATAGTGCACCCAGAACCACCGAGTACTCGAACGACCCGGCCCGCTTTCCCGTACAGCGCGAAGTTCCTAGGCGACTGACCTTGGCGAACTAATGAACATCCTAGCGCACGTAAACGTCTTCGGAATAATAAAACTCGCGAGTATCTAATTCTACAGAGATTTGAATGCCGTCCGCGTAGACGCGTACTCTAAGTGTTGATCTAACCGATACCGCGCGACGTGCCGGGTGCTCTGTAATTATATTCCTCAGAGATGACTACGTGACTACAAAGAAAAGTAGATGGGTACTACAAAAACACTGTGCAGTAGACGACTGACACGGGACTAATACACGGGGTATATAGTCCTCCTCAAGTAACAGTGTGCTTTAGCAACTCCATTAGCGTCTCGTTTGTCTACTCATTATAATCCAAATTTGTAAACAAGACAATTGAAATTAATGTTAATGATGACACCGTTGCGGTAGCCTTGTGCAAACTCAATATTAGCGACATTTTCCTTTTTCAGGCTTTCCGTCATTCTTTGGTCGATCTTTCTGTAGTTCTCGTGTTTCCACTTTTCCAAAAGTACCTTCGTGATTCAGGAAACTTCAGGAAGATTTACTACTAATTACTAACGTACACAATGTTCCTTTTCTACCGATATTTCAAACATTTTATCGAACCGAGGACCCCAACATCTAACGATGAAACCAACCCTCAGATGCAATGTTGATGACGAACCGCGCCCGAACAGTCCTCTAAAACTCGATCACAAAGGAGGACCGCAGCTCGGCGTCGTGAATACAGTTCACCGTTTCCGGCAAACGCCATTGAGCTTATTCATCGGGGTCCGCGTCAGGCGAAACGAGGCTTCCGTTCCCGACCATTTGCTTCGCTCCGGCTTGATCTAATAAAACGTGTTGCGCGGGGGAAAAAAG